TGATGGGGCTACCGAGAACCGAGCTGAAGCACGATGCCATCTGGGTGGTGGTGGACAGGTTGACGAAGTCTGCGTACTTCATACCGTTTCGTGCAACGTATTCTCGGAAGATTCTGTCAGAATTGTACCTAGAGCACATCGTGAGGTTACACGAGGTGCCACTGTCTATCACGTCTGATCGTGATACCCGCTTCAATGCACGGTATTGGAGGAGTTTCCAGGAAGCCATGGGAACATATCTGAATTTTAGCACTGCATTTCATCCCGAGACAGATGGACAATCTGAAAGAGTCATTCAGATTCTGGAGGATATGCTTCGTGCTTGTATTCTGGAATTCGGTGGGAACTGGAAGAAATACCTACATCTAGCTGAGTTCGCTTATAATAACAGCTATCAGGCCAGTATCGGTATGGTACCGTTCGAGGCGTTGTATGGTCGTCCTTGTAGGTCACCTGTTTGTTGGTTGGAACCGGAGGATAGACTTACAACTGGACCGGATGTCATTCAAGAGAATGATGAGAAGATAGCTGTGATTCGAGAACGCCTATTAACAGCTCAAAGTCGACAGAAGAGCTATGCTGACAGAAGGCATAGGCCTTTGGAATTCCAAGAAGGCGACTTTGTTCTGTTGAAGGTTTCCCCACGTAAGGGAGTTACTCGGTTTGGTGTGAAAGGGAAGCTTGCGCCAAGGTATATTGGACCATTCCCGATCGTGCAGCGAGTTGGTGTTGTGGCGTATCGTCTTACCCTGCCGCCTGAATTATCTCATGTGCATGACGTGTTCCATGTCTCTATGCTTCGGAAATGTCAACCATATCCGGAAGCTGTAGTGCAATGGTATGACGTTCCGATACAGGACGACACGACGTACGATGAGGTACCGGTCCAGATTATTGACCGGAAGATGAAGAGTCTGCGTCATCGTGAGATCCCGTTAATGAAAGTGCTGTGGCAGCACCATGGTGGTGAGGAAGCAACATGTGAGCTTGAAACGACGATGCAGGAATGTTATCTGCATCTATTTGTAATTTGAAGTGAGCTTTAATTTTAGGGACGAAATTGCCTAAGGGGGGTGGAGCTGTAACACCCTGAAGAATTAATTGAGATTAATTAAGGTAATTGAGATTATTAGTGTGCCTAATCTGATTTAATTAATTGAGTTTAAATAATTCCAAGGTATTTCAATTATTCACAGTAATTTATTTAATCCAGAAGTGTGTATGGGCGCATTTCTGGACTGTTATATTTTACACATGTCACTTTCTTTTATTTTTCTTTTCTTTTCTTTTCTTTTTCTTTTTCCTTTATTTTCCTTCCTTTTCTTTTTCTTTCCCGTGCATTTCTCTCTCTCTCTCTCTCTCACAC